TAGATTTATTATACAGGGTGAAGGTCAAGAAAAATCTAAAAATTGAAAATAGAGTGTTTCATTTAAAAAATTTGGTGATGACGTTATCATTAAAAAGTTACTCACCCTGCATGATAGATCATTGTTAAAAAATAGTAAATTAAAATTAAAAATCGACCTGTTTCTGGAATTTTCCTATTATACTACATATTTATTTAACAATTTTAGTTTATTTTAAATGAATTTATGCGTTTTCGTTATGGACACACTGTTTAAATGTATACAGTGCATTTCTTTAATGTCTTCCCCCTTTTATTTTTTGAACGGATCAACTTAGAAAATTGAAATTTGGGATAATGAAACTAATGAATGATTACTATATTTTGGAGTGAAATTGACAGTTAAAAATTGCAAGATGGCGACTGGGCGCCATCTTGGGAAATAAATTTAAATAGAAAGGGGTCTTGTGATACATCATTTTGAAGCTCCTGACAAATACTGTACAACCCTGGAATATAACGTCAAAGAGTGGCTATTGAACCATATAATAAAATTTTGGAGGCCTGGGAAAATTCATTCAAGATTCGAAGAAAAATATATTTGAACAAGGAGCTTTCTGCAATTTACAGTGATTTGCCTTGCTTAAAACTGAATTATGGAATTGATCTAGTGAGTTATTTGTTATATTTTAGTATGTATTATAATTTAAGAATGTATTTCTAGATTGAAACCGATTTCAACAGGACTCACCCAGATAAAATTGACATTATGTACAATACATGGCCATAAATTTCATTAGCAATTAATAAAGAAATACATAATAGAAAAATAAGCATTACCGATGTTAACTGTGGTAAGATTTTTTGTATAAAATTCTTATGATTGAAACTTTTAAAGAAACCTAGACTAAACAGATATATTCATGGATCTTGAATTTTTTAGAGAAAACACTCCAGACAATTTTGGCATTACCATATTTGTGCCCTCCAATATTGTTGAAGAAGTCCAGAAGAGGCACAAATTGGAGACCCACGAGAAGTGAAATTCAGGAAAGTTTCTTTTCTATACATGAAGTAAGTATTTCCATAATGTCATTATTATATTGTTGTTATTATATGTTTTGTTATTGTTAACTTTTGTATTTAATTTGTGGAACGTCGAAGATCTTCAACAAAAATTAATTGACAGGAAAAGGAAATTGAGAGATTTTAAAATTAAATAACAACCATTTGCTGCAATTTTGGGACCATTAGAAAATCCCGAAGGATACTTAATTGTTGTAGATGAAACTAAATACAAAGTAGAATCCGCTATTGGCACTTTTGAATTGCTGTTCAAATTATTTCATGCCTTGGATATAGCTTATCCACCTGAATGTGAGCACATTTGGCTTGTCATCGAGGAACTTTTGTTTTGTATGAAGCCTTCCAAGAAGTTACCTTCAACATCATCCACAATTTCAGACATCAGTTTTCACTTAGAAAAAGATTAATTTTTTGGTATGTAGTTTTTTATGCGTCAGTGCAATTTTTGTAGTGATTCGTTTTTTAAAACGAATGCGCTAATTACTCATTTAAAAATTATTCACAGATGTGAAGAAAATGGAATTTTTATTTAAGGCGAAAAAATTGTCACAGACATTTTCCTTGTTTAAAGACTTTTCGGAAACATTTAAAAAGCCATGAAATAATATACAGTAACGATTCATCATCTAATAACACAAGAGATTCTAATATTAATAGAGAATCATCATGTTACACGCCTGCTTATTGTTCACCCTCTATCAAATACCACCAAAAAAAAGATTCACCGCCAAATTGAAGATAGCGCTTTTAATAAATTTAAAGAAAAAAATGATAGATAATAATGTTAGGTTCTTTTGTGATTTATATTCAGAGAAAACGTTGTGTAGAAAGGATGTTCAAAAAATGATTGAAAAAGTCAGTGATTTATTATTCGATCCAATAAATATGTTTAAAATTAATTTAGTCAATATTTTGAAAAATTACTCTTTATCAGAATCCGATAATTTGAAATAGACCAATATTTTGACGAATTTCAAAACCTATTTCAAGGCTTTCATAGTGAATATCTCAGACTTACTTATTTAGAAAATTTAGGAATATTTATTAAACCTTCTGAATTTACAGTCGGCGAGCATTTAGAGAAAAACAAAAATGGCATTCTTGTTCCAAAAAATATGCAGCACAATTTATTTCTTTTCAAAGTGTTTTAAAATCATTTTTTTACATTATCTAATATTTTAAATGAAACGTTAGAATACATACACCATTTAAATAGACAGAAACACATATTTAACATAATTCAGACAGAACATTGGAAAAATAAAATTTCAAGTTTTAAAAGTAACGATATTGTTTTACCACTGTTTTTGTATTACGATGACTACGAAATTGGAAATCCCTTAGGATCTCATTCGGAAATACATAAAATTGGAGTTATATATTATTCAATCGCTTGTTTGCCACCATCAGTTCAATCACGGCTAGACAATATTTTTATAGGAATGCTATTTCACAATTCAGATCTAAAGAAATTTGGAGAAAAAGTTATGTTTTCAAAATTAGTTCATGAGTTAAATACAATATCAAAGGAAGGCATTTCAATAGAATTAAATAATAGTAAAGTACAGATTAATATCTGCGTTGCTCTCTTTTGTGGTGACAGTTTAGCGCTTAATTCTTTATTTAGCTTTCAAGAAAGTTTTCTTGCTAATTCTTTTTGTAGATTGTGTAAATGTTTCCGGTCTGATACACAAAAAAATACTTTTGAAAATAGTTCTGATAGTTCTTGATAATAGATTTGTTAAATAATATAAATTTTTTTCATGTAACTGAAAATTATAGTGTTGACATTACACATGACATATTTGAAGGCATAGGAAAATATGTAATGACCAACATACTTTTTGAATTCATTATTATTTCAAAAATCTTTAGCTTAGACATGTTGAACACTAGATTGAAACATTTTGAATTTGATTCGGCTCATAACAAACCCCCTCTTATTACAATAGAAAATATAAAAAATAAAAACTTAAGAATGTCTGCAGCAGAGATGAGATGTTTTATCCTACATGCTGGTTTAATTTTTGTAGATTTAATTCCTGAAGGCAATAAAATTTGGGGTATTTATACAGGGTGTTTCATTGGGAAAGGGCAATATTTTAACCCTATATAGAGGTCACCCAGGGGATTACAAAAAACCCATATACTATGGGTCTTGCGCCCTTTATAACCGAGTTAGAGGGTGTTTTTTGAATTTGGCCCATTTCTTTCGACACCTATAACTTTTGAATCACTCAGTATATTTTTTTGATATTTGGCATAGATATTCTATACCTTTAGGACAATTTATTGCCACATTAAAAAATTACAAAATCCAGGTCCGGATTTAGAAAAATTAATAAAATTTGACCGACCCTAAAACAACACCCTATACATGATATTTTTTAAAATTGAATTTCAAATTCAGAAAGAGCATAAAAAACTGAATGTATTCATCAACTTTTTATTTTCCCCCATGCCGTTTTTCTACCAAAATTTAAACGTTAAAATGTACATTATGAGATTTTTGGTCCATGTAAATTGTAATTGAAGGGATTTTAATTATTTTTTCTTTAATAAAACCAGATTTACTTAACACTTTCATGAAAATTCCTGAAATAGACCTATGGAACTTGAATTAACATTCACATAAACCAATAAAAATTACAATTACAGATCCGCACTTAATAAAATTAAAATGATTTCATTTCATTTAATAAGTAAGGGTTGTTACCTCCACCCCTCGAGGGTTAATGCGAAATTGCTGCAATTAGGACAGGAAAGTGTCCCCCTAAAAACTAAAATTGACGTGTCTGAGCGTTTATGCCGATACATCTCTTTTAAACCGTAAGATTTAGGAACATTTTTCGTTCTTTCAAAAAAATAGAAAATACTTTTGTCGATCTAATAAAACGTACTGGGTGTTTTTCCGATTAGTACTTTTTAAGTTTTTTCGAAAAAACCGTTTTTAAATTGTCTTCATGTTTGTAACGCCAAAGCTCAGAAATTGTCATGTTTTAGAAAATTTTAAAAGCGAAAATTTATAGATAGGACATTTTTCAATCTACCTCATTTTTCCATTTTTTTTTTTAATAATTATTTATCGAATTATAAAGATTTTCGAAATCGATGCATATTTTACGGCGGCTGCCGTCAAACCGGAGGTGAAAACTTTCAGATCGGCGATGCCATACGAACATTCCCGAATGAAAGACGAAGTGGATGACATTTGAGTTTCTATGGATACGTTGACATTTAATTTGATGTACAGGGTGATTTTAACTTAAGGAAATCGGAAAAATTGATATACGGTGCGTTTTTTATCTTAAGTGAAAAATTATTTTAAATTAAATTGAAATATAGTACAGGGTGAATTGTATTTAAAAAAATATTAATTACATAAACCGAGCGAGCGAGGATCAGGCTATACCATGTGGTTATTTATCGCGCCGAAGCCGCGCCTCTCCACAGTTCAACTGATTCCCTCTTTCTACTGATTGTAGCGTTCGAAATCGGATATACGGTATAACTATATTTGTAAAACGCCGTGATTTTATTAAAAACACTTTATTATCACAACACCAATAATCGCCATTATAATAGGTCGCCGATATTCGCCGTCCGCCGGTTTGTACTTCGCTATGCCAACGACGGCTTGACACTGTCCTTCCTACCTTCCCTTGCCTAGCGCGCTTACTCGCCTTAAGCTGCCTTCGCCGGGTCGTTAGACGTCACACACTAGTCGAATCATATTCCGCAAATTTCTTTGTCAGTTCATTTGCGTAGGAAGCCGTTAGGCCTCCGAGTTGCAGGTCTATTCGGCAGAGCCGATTATTGCAAATACCAATAAACTCGAGCTCGCGCAGCCAACGAGAATCGGATATGTAACCGTTTGCGGCGAAGCCGGGGGTGGAGGGGCACAGCCCCTCCCGAGCTGATAAGTGAGTCATAAAATAAAATTAAAAGTATTTTTTATTAAAAAATGTATTATTGCATCTAGTATTAAGGAAATTAATTTACAGCTCAATAAATAAACAAATTTATTCCTTTTTGAAAATCTCTCGTTTTGGTAAAGAAAATTCAAATGCAGGTTCCCCAGCTTCCACCACCCAAATAGACCCGTTTGGAGCATCTTTCACGATCTTCACCATTTCCTCAGCCACGTGTTCTGGCCTGCAACACAAAGACCCTTTGAAATCCGAGCTCTCTTTCTTCTCGAAATATGGCGAGTTTCATTACTTTTGCACGTGCTCCACCTCGCTTTTGATGGTCTCCATCGAACCCTCGTACACAGGGCTCAAGAAATTAGCTTCGGTGTTCAACATGTTCGTCGCGGTGGCAGAAGGGCACACTTCTACCACCCTGACGCCGGTGCGCTGGTAGTGGAACTGGCATCCCCAGGATTTTACCATACCTAAAATTATGAATTTATTTAGAGGTTTTGTTTTAAGACTTTAGGTACCTGTTATTGCGAATTTCGTGGCTGAATAAACCGGCCAGGGAGCGTAACCTCCTAAACCCGCAGTAGAAGAGGTAGCTATGATAACCCCTTCGTCGGTGCTCTTGTATTTGTTCAGGTAGTGATCCATTCCCAATATGAATCCGTTGATAGTGCCGATCTGAAAAGTTTTATAATGTTGTAAACTGAGTTATTTTCGTGTGATTGTACTAACGATATTAACGTCTATTTCTTTTCTCCATATGCGGTCGGATCCGATGCCGGCGTTGTTAGCGAGGATGTCCAATTGGTTATATTTTTTTATTGTCCTCTTGAAAGCCTCTAAAATATAATAATTAAATGACGACCATCTGTTGGGATCTACAAGGAGTTAATCGGCTACTAGTATCTTCCAGGATCTAATAGAATCTAATAAAATCTACCAGGATCTATAGGGATCCATTGGGATCTGGTTAGATCAAATAAGATCTATTAGGATTTATGCGAGGATCTACAAGAATTTAATAAGATATACTAGGAGCTGGTTGGAAGAATCTACTAGTTTCTTTTTTTTCAAAATTATTTTTATACAAATAACCTTCGAATTCGGCGTAATTTGCAATGTCGCATTTTACGAATAAGACTTTGTCCTTGCCGTAGATCTCGTTAAGTTCTTTTTCCACTAATATCCCATCGTTTTCTTTAATATCGACCAAAGTGACGCCCTGTAAGTAGAAAAATACACGAAACATTTTTAGTTTGTAGAAAAAAACGACACCAAACAAAATTGACCCATTCGATAAAATTTAGAGTTTGATCATACAATGTTTTTTAGAGTGTACTTTTTACAGTGTTTTTGCATCACAACTTTTCGAAGTTCCTAAAGAGTTACGAGTCTTAAAATTTAGGTGTAAGCTTAGTCCATGTTGCGAGTTTTTCTAAAATATTTTTAACCATGTGGGACCTCTGGTTATACCGTTAGTAGATGTCAACTTCGTTATTTCAAATGGAAAGTGCCATTTTTGACTTCATTTTTAGATTCTGTGGCGCTTTTTAACAAGACTTTGATAATAACACCATATGTCAAAAATGGACCATTTCTAAGTTTTGTTTTAATTTTTGGAAAACGGTCCAATATATTTTCTATATCTCTTTTATACACAAAACCAAACTTATATGGAATCACCCAGAAATTTCGAGAAATAGAATTTATTTTGGAAAACAGTCATTAATGAATAAAGAGCAGTTTTTCCAAACCAAGTTTTATTACAAAAACTAATAAAAATCTTAACAATTTTGTTAATAATAGATCAAATAACAAAAAGTCTTGATTTCAATAATAACATTTTTTCTGAAAATGACAATTTACCAAAAAGTGAGATTGATTTTCTGGCCTATAATTTATTATGCCAAATGAACTTATTATTAGAAGAATTAACCGACGATGAAGATTTTTTAGAAGTTATAAATGGCTTTTTACATCCTAGAAGACCGCAGAAAGAGACCCAGTCATTTTGAAATATGGTCTGATATTGAATTTAAATGTAGATTTCGATAGTTCCTGCCTAAATAATTTAAAATAAACGAAATAGGAAATATCAAAAGTGAAACAACACTGTCAACCATCTGTCAAAATTCAAATTTCAATTGTAAAGTTTGGCACGGGACATTATATTTCGGAAGAACAACGGAGTTTAGTGCAATCAACGTGACCTGAACGGCGTTCAGCCAAACTAATGTTAATTATTGCACTTTACAACGAAAACCAAAACCAACTCGGTTCAAAGTTGACTGACAGTTTAGTTGAACTATCGTTCACCTATGACATCTACAACCGGGCCTAAAATTAACAGGGAGTTCTAGAATTGGTTCTTTAATTTGGCGTATGTTAAATTTTTAACGTGCGTTAAAATTGAACATTTTGCTTGTAGAATTAGCATTTAAGAAAGGTGTTGGATTTTTTGAGGCAGGCAGGTTTAACACTAAAGTTGACCAAGTGTGAATTTGGCAAGAAGAAGATGGAATATTTGGGATTTCAGACTTCGGAAAAGGAATTGAACCAGGTATTAGAAAGGTTGCAGCCATAGATATATTTCCTACGCCTACGGATATTCATGGTGTAAGACGTTTTCTAAGATTAGCATCGTTTTTCAGAAGATTTATTGGAAACTTAGTGTTGATAAGCGAGCCGCTAAGTAGGTTAACGAAGAAGGATCAGTTTTTCGACTGGGGAAACGAGCAACAAAATACGTTCGATTTAATAAAACAACTTCTTACTTCAAAACCAATCTTGCAGATGTATAATCCGAGGGCCGAAAAGACGAAATAACACACGGACGCTAGTTCGAGAGGGTGGAAGGTGATGTTGCTACAACCTGATGAGAATTACCAATTCCATCCGATATACTCCATAAGCAGGAGAACGTCCGACGCCGAAAAGGCATATCACTCCAGTAAGTTATAGTTGTTGGCGATAATATGGGGAGTAGAAAGACTAAGAATATTTCTGTTGGAGATCAAGTTCGTCATCGTTACGGACTGTAAGGCACTGTTGTATTTACAGAAAAACAGAACCAAAACAGCCAAATCGTAAGATGGTATAATATTTTAAGAGAGTACGACTTCGAGATTAGGCATAGAAAGGGAAAGAATATGCAGCACGTTAATGCATTGTCAAGAGCACCGATCGAGGGTGTGGGTGACGGCATCTAATCGTATGTTATAGAAAACCGTAGAGTTCATTCCATACTTACCAGAAAGGAAGAGTTGATATTGTTCCAATATAGCGAAGAAGAAAAAATGATAATTTTGAAGAAAAAGAAGATTATTTGTACCGAGAGCCGTGAGCAAATCGATAAACACAATGTATCATGGATCTAAATGGTTATGAAGGAAATGAAAAAATGTTATATAAGATGAAAATGTATTATTATTTTCCAGGGATAAGAAAATACATAGACAACCATATAAATATGTGTTTAGAATGCATATAAGCTAAGAATAAAAAGGGAAAGCAAGCAGGATTTTTAAACCCGGGTAGAAGATCTTTTGAAATATTGCACATGGATCGTCTAGGACCTTTTAGTAGATCAAAGAAAGGCAACAAATATATGTTGGTACTAATAGATAATCTAACGAGATTTATGCAACTCGAGTCGGTGAAGGACACAAAAGCTAACACTACCGTAAGGCAACTAGAGAGATTCGTTGAGCGATTCAGGGCACCTACGAAAAAATAACGGATAGAGGAACACCCGGAGAGGAAGACATCCCGGAGCAAATGGGCTCTTGGAAAGATTGAACTCCACGATAATACCTGTGATTCAGGTGAATATCGAGAACGAAGAAGTAGACTGGGATAAAAAAATAAAGAAAGTGGAGATGGATTTGAATACATCAGTTAATAAAACTACCGGTAAAACAACTTCTGAAGCAAGGGCATTTACTGTAGATTGTGAGGATCACGGAACTGCAATGGAACTGCAAGAAGAAATTCGAATCAAGATAACGGAAGAACAACAACGATATAGAGATATATTCGATAGTAAGAGATACGAAGGACTAAAATATGAAGTTGTAGATGTAGTTTACATGCAAAACAGTAAAAAGTCAACGGGCGATTCCACTAAGTTACAAAGCAGATTTACTGGACCATTGGCAATTACATTACAGGGCGATTCGACTTATTGAAGTCCAGGGTCAACGACTAAATACAATCTGTCACGTGTCGCAAATAAAAATTTGGAGAAAAAACCAAAACGAAGACGAGGAACAAAAACCTTTAACCGAAAAACAAAAACCATTAACCGATAAAGAAGAAAGCTCAAATGAGACTCAAGAAATGGAAACCATAGACGAACACCAAGAAATAGTGGAACTTCAGAAAAGGGAAGATAAAGCACGTAGCAAAAGAACACGTAAAAGACCAAAGTATTTAACAGATTACGAGTGTTGAGATTTACACAGAGTGATTCATTCCGAAACGGAAAGATTTTAATCTTATACACTGTTAGAAATTTAATTTCGCATAATAGGGAAATCAATGTTAAATTCTTAGCCGGCTAAAATCCAGTCTACCAGTATACATTTCAATAGAACGTCGCGATGAATTCTAATAAATTTAATTGTTCTACTGGATCGCACGCAGCGATTTGTAGAGGTACAAAGTTATTTGTGTTAGGTATGAGGTACAAAATTATTTAGAAACTACAATTAATAGGTTTTTTGGGGATATTTCAAAAAAATGTGTGTATCGGTAGGTACAGTTTTGAAATAGCAACAAATCTTGTTAAAATAAGGAAAAATAAGAAAAAAATAATTCAATTTTCTGCTAAAATTACACCTCAGCTCAGTAATATGAGATGACATCTGTATGACAGGTTTGGCTATAGTTTAGCAGAAAGCGGTAGACTATTTTTTAGAGTTCTTTTATTTTCTGTTTTAAAATAATCTTTAAGTTTATTTTTGAAGTTTCCTTTTTATTATTTTCTTAGAATTTACTTTCTTTTTCAAGCCATTGTGGCAAAAAGACATATCTACATAATTCTATTTTAATATAAGTGATATTTTTTCAATAAATTATCTGAAGAATTATCTTATCGTTTTGATATTGTCGAAGTGTCGAAACCGTCGAAATTATTTGATTTTTAATCTAACCAAGCCAAAGCACGGTGTGAAGTCCAGTAGAACAATTAAATTTATTAGAATTTACCGCGACGTTCTATTTAAATATACACTGGTAGACTGTATTTCAGCCGGCTAAGAATTTAACATTGATTTCCGTATTATGCGCGAATAATTTTCCAACAGTGTATAGAGGTCGCACAGGAGATCACAAAAAACCCATATAGTATAGGTTTTAGGCTCTTTACAACCGAGTTACAGGGCGTTTTTTGAATTTAGCCCATTTCTTTCAATGCTTATAACTTTTGAATCAATTTGTATAATTATTTCATATTTTACACAGATAATCTACACCTTTAGAACAATTTATCGACCCACTAAAAAATTCAAACTCCAGGTCCGGCTTAATAAAAATATTACTTACCTTTTACTACCAAAATTTAAACGTTAAATTGTACATTATGAGAACTTTAGTCCATGCAAAATGTACTTGAAGAGGTTTTAATTATTTTTTTTAATTAAGTTTACTCAACTTTTTCATGGAAGTTTCCGTAATAAACCGAATAAATTTGAATTAACTTTCACAAAAATCAATAAAAATCATTATTACAGATCCGTCCTTAAAAAATTATGAATATGTAAGTTCTATTTAACCATTTAGATTAGTTTTGTTCACTGTTTATTAATTATTTATTGTTTATACGTTAGTTCGATTTCTAGGGACAAAAAATTTGTTAGGAAGGGCCGAGTGTAACAAAGTAGAAAAAAAAAGAAGAGAGAGAGGTAAAGAGTAGAAAAGATGGCGACAAGAGATCGGCGATAAAAAGAGCAATGTTAGAATACTGTTAAATTTTTAACCTAAACAAATAAACTTTTCGGATTTGAGTGATTTAAAGGACCATTCCTAACAATAATTTAATAGATTACGCTACAATTGGTTACAATAATTCTACAACATTCTTCAACAAAGATACCTAATAAAGACTTAAGGCTTAATAAATTCTTAGATCCGTATAAAGTAGTAAAAGTACGGAATAGAAATAGGTTAGAAATAATTAATTAGAAAGGTAAGAGTAAAAGTTAGGCAGAAATTATTCATAATAAAGAATTAAGAAAACCTAATATTATTTCAGATTCATAACCTCCTACAGAGGAATTCACCGACCCATCTTCCACAATGTAACTAACAGGTTAATTATAAAATGGGAGTTAAATAACAACAAACGGAATCTACAATTCGTTTAATTAGTGAATTACTATTTTAATTTTTGAGAGATAATGAATAAAATTTCAATTATTTCAAAAACGATTGGCTTTGAGTATAGGGAATACCTACAGGGTGTCCCAATAGTGCGGTAAAGCCCATTTACTCAGTTATTATAATAGATACGAAAAAATGATAAATAGGAAAAATGTTTAGCACCTTTGAGCGCACAATTTAAAATTATTTCGAAATATACAGGGTGGCCCATAAATCGATGCCATACCAAACATACCTTTTTTTAAAGGCAATGATATATTTTTTATTTCATATTCGATTTCAGCTCGTATTCACGAGTTTCTCAATATAAGATTTCATATGACTATACTGAGTATTTAAAAAGTTATGCCCATTTTTATGTTCAAATCGTCATGATTTCAAGGCTCTGTATATCAGAATCTGTATTAGATAATGTGAATATTTCTGTGTCGACACTTTTTAAAAATGGTCTATTTTCACAAAAAATAGTTACATTCTGACAAAATTACGATTTGTATACAGGGTGAGTCAAAACGCAAACATAATAATTACTCGCTTAATTTAAATGGAACACCCTATATTAATAATATCCAATGGGAAGTCTACTTCTTACTGAATCTTTTTTCATAACATTTCCCTATACCTAACTGTCACCGTTTCTGAGATATTTTCAGTTTTATTAAAAAATGTCCAGTTTTTGATGTTATAATTTCATTTTGCTCTAATTACCAATAATGTTGTCGACCTTTTTTGCAAAATAATAGTAGAAAATGTAATATCGGTTAATTAACGATCATTAACTACCCGAAATATTTGGTAATTTTTAAATTAAACTTTAAATTATTGTAATTTTAATTTAATCTAGTTACCTCTATGACGTCATCATCTACGAACTATGCGAATTTTACTTATTGAACTCGTGTCACTGTAAATTATAGAATAACTAAAAATTTAGGATACCTGCTAATGATATTTGATTAATCATTAATCGATATTTAATTTTCTACTATTATTTTGCAAAAAAAGGTCGAAGACGTCATTGGTAATTAGATCAAAATGAAATTATAACATCAAAAACTGGACATTTTTTAATAAAACTGAAAATATCTCAGAAACGGTGATAGTTAGGTATAGGGAAATGTTATGAAAAAAGATTCAGTAAGAAGTAGACTTCCCATTGGATATTATTAATATAGGGTGTTCCATTTAAATTAAGCGAGTAATTATTTTGTTTGTGTTTTGACTCACCCTGTATACAAATCGTAATTTTGTCAGAATGTAACTATTTTTTGTGAAAATAGACCATTTTTAAAAAGTGCTGACACAGAAATATTCACATTATCTAATACAGATTCTGATGTACAGGGCCTTGAAGTCATGACGATTTGAACATAAAAATGGGCATAACTTTTTAAATACTCAGTATAGTCATATGAAATCTTATATTGAGAAACTCGTGAATACGAGCTGAAATCGAATATGAAATAAAAAATATATCATTGCCTTTAAAAAAAGGTATGTTTGGTATGGCGTCGATTTATGGGCCACCCTGTATGTTTCGAAATAATTTTAAATTGTGCGCCTAAAGGTGCTTAACATTTTTTCTATTTATCATTTTTTCAAAAGTGGCGCATTTTTGGCATATGATAATATTATCAAAGTCTAGTTAAAAAGAGTCACAGAATCCAAAAATGAAGTCAAAAATTGTACTTTCCATATGAAATAACGAAGTAGATATCTACTTCCGGTATGACCGGAAGTCAAATATGGTTAAAAATATTTTATAAAAACTAACATTGATTGTCCTTTATACTTAAATTTTCAGATTTCTCATCAGGATCTACTATAACTTGTACTGGAGGGTTTCCTTGAAAAGCACTGTATTAGATGCAGATGTACTTACCTTCAATCCTTTGGAAAGTAACGCTTTTGCAAAATTGAATCCCAAACCGTTAGCTCCGCCAGTTATGAGAGCGACTTTGTTCCGAATTTCAAAAACCATGATATCGACAAATTAATTGTTATAACTGCAAATATTTACAATTAACAAACAGTACACGACAGCATAAAGATAACCTAAAAACTAATTGGATATTGCTGGCTGAATATCACTTCAATAAAGTCTTTTCACGCGCATTCCTTTCTCAATGAATTAAAAATCCCTTTTAACTGAACAACAATATATTGCTGATTTTCACACAACGATATTAACAATATTTAAATGCAAAAACCTCAAGAAAAATAAACAGAAAAAAACGAGGTAAACATTATTAGACAATAGACATCTGTCAACTAGTCTTCTAGTCTTCTTCACAGAAGAAAAAATGGCCTCGTCGCTTGGCTTATTCATAGTCAGTTGTTGTGCTGCCACAGTTGTCTAACTAATACCGGTATACTTTATTTCAAAAGATTGTAGTCCCAATACTTTAAAAAGACTGGCAAAGATGTTGAAAAAGAACAGCGTATTATTAGTTTTTTAACTATTTTTTGCATTGTGGGAGGAAAAAGGATAAAATTGTTGTACTTTCAAATACCAATAGCTAGTTACCAAAAAGGTAAACAGTGATGTTAAAATTACTTTATAATATGTAATTAATTACAATTACAATTACTTTTGGCAAATTGTAATTAATTGCAATTACAATTACCAAATTTGCGAATGTAATTACAATTAAAATTAAAGTTACAATTACAATTACAATTACAATTACTTTGCTTTGGTGTCATTTTAAATAATTATTTAGGTACATATTCCTAAAAACCTCATTAACCTTTTCAGGGAAACAAGATATTAATAGAAGATATAATTCTTATAGAATATGCTTTGAACTTCATTCCATGGCAAGCAGGTATATACCCCGACTGCCTGGCTAGGGATTTGCAATCGGAATTAAACTTTCCACGTATTGAAAATATTAAATAAGTACTTTTTTGTCCAATGTAATTGAAATGTAATTGTAAAATGTAAAATGTAATTGTAACTAACGGAGTAATTGAATTACAAATTAATTACAATTGAGGAGCTTGTATTTAATTACCGCCCCAATTTCACTAAAAGTAATTCAATTACTTTTTCAATTACTTGTAATTAATTACTTAACAACACTGGGTATAAACCGTTCAAACTTTGGTATCAAACGTACTTGGTCAAAGTGTTGGCTAATAATCATGATTTTTATTAAATAACGGGTTTTACCGTAAAAAGTTTTTTTGTTTTCCCAAAAATAAGGTTCACTGGAATTTTACTCTTTTTCCCATCAACCATTCAATTGATCTCAGCACATGCGCCAGACACAATAACGTCAATAACATAAACAAAATCTCCAATATAAAATAAAATTTTAATTTTATTTCCGTTGTTGCCACATTCATTTTTCTGCTAGCATTATTTTAACTAGTGGGAAAGCAATATGCATCTATGAATATAGGAAACGTTAATGGCTTGTTAGTATGATGTTAATGGCCACTAACTAGTGGCACCGATAATGCCTCAAAATACCGATAGTCCGCGTCTATACTTAATAGGTCTATGTATGTGTTTGATTTAAATTGTTTTAATTCATCCAAATCTACGATAATTTTAAAATTCCCGCATAATAAAGGTCAAAATAAAAAATAACCTGTTTTTCAATTTCTTAAGTTCTGTGTGAATTTGAAAGATGGCAGGACATTTTCGAGTCACGTCACAATTTTTCGTGAGAGTTTCCCATCTTAAGTATGGTGGCTGCATCGACATTTAAAATAAACGCTCAGACACGTCAATTTTAGTTTTTAGGAGGACACTTTATTTCCTAATTGCAGCATTGACACTTCAAACTTCAACTCTCGTGGAGTGGATGTATTAACCTCTAAAATTAAAAATAGGGAAAATAACCAAGTGTGGTATATTTTTGAAAAGGTAATTTTATGGAGAATTCAGCAATAACAATGTTGTTGTGCCAAATTGTAGCTATTTAAAGCGAATTGTTAATCTTCTAAGGCAAAATAATATCTATCTTCATAAACTCAAGTTGTAGCAACGGTTAATCCAAAATATAATATAGTATAGTATAAACTACTTATACAGGGCGATTCATTCCGAAACGGAAATATTTTAACCCAGGGGTCACCCAGGTCACCCAGGGGATCACAAAAACCCCATATAGTATGGGGCCTTATGCTCTTTATAACCGAGTTACAGGGCGTTTTTTGAATTTGGCCCATTTTTTTCAGGGCTTATAATTTTTGAATCATTCAGTAAAATTATTTCAAATTTTGCACGGATAGTCTACACCTTTAGAACAATTTATCGACCCACTAAAAAATTTCAAAATCCAGGTCCGGCTTAATAAAAATGATTAAAGTGTCACTATCCCTAAAACAACACCGTGTACATTAAATTTTTAAACATTCAATTTCAAATTTAAAAAGAGCCCAAAAAAATAAATACAATCATCAACTTTTTACTTTTGCGCACGCCGTTTTACTACCAACATTTTAACGTTAAATTGAACATAATGAGAATTTTAGTCCGTGCAAAATTCAATAGTACTTTCTTTCATTTCAGATTAGCCTAGTAGCAGAAAGGAGACGTTAAAATAATTAGCTAGCATGCAAGCACGCATAATGTACTTTAAGGGGTTTTAATTATTTTTTCTTTTAAAATTAAGTTTCCTCAACTTTTTCATGGAAATTCTTGTAATAAACCAAATTAATTTGAATTAACATTCACAAAAATCAATAAAAATCATAACTACAGATCCTTACTTAAAAAAAATTTAAATGATTCAAATTAATTTATTAATTAACCATTAATTCATTTTTTAAATTTTTACATGAGAAAATTAAGATTAAAGACTACTGAAATTTATTAGCTTTATTATAAAAGATAATAAAAGTTGTCTAGAACAGGGTAGAATAGGTAGAATAAATGTTCACATTTGTATCAAAACTTAAAACTAGGTACCTATGACTCTGACAGAAGATTGACTTATGACTTATAATTAAGATAATCGGCCAATTTCTTTCATTGTTCCAACAACTAAACTGTGATATTCAATTTAACAAAAATGCTTATTCAATTTTCTAATGAAGAATATGCAGATATTGTGTTTGGGTTTTTGTGATGAGAATGGACTTGATGTAAAAAGAGAGTACAGTAGACGATTTAGTAACGCTCTAAATTATTAACGCCCTAAATGTACCTCAAATTCTGTGTAAATATAATGTAATTCTGTTTTAAAGAATAATTTTGAAATCTGTTTGTGTTCTGAATGTTACTGTTAAATTGTTTTATTCATAAATAAATTATTTTTGATTAAAAAACCAAATTATAATTTGAATTTAAATATAAATAATGTATAGTCAATGTATATAAATAATGTATAAATATAAATAATGTATATATAATGTATAGTAGTTTAATATAAAGTTAACTTTATTGTGAACAAGATCCCTTCATTACCGACAATACCGACTAAGCGTCCTCTGTCCGTGCGAATCGGTATTACAATTTTGTTTTAATCTAAAGCATTAGCGTGAGACATCTATAGAGTATATCATCTTTGAAAGACAACCGATTCTGAGACATACTTCGTTGAAGAAAGGCGTATTCGACACGTAAAATCGATGAGATGAGCCCGAAGAGAGCGTTCATAGTAAATCACCCTCACTGCGATGCCTCGATACCTCGATACCTCGCGATTTACCTAGATGTTTCACATCGATGTTAAAGTGTTCATAAAGTGTAACATAAAGTGTAAATCACCATAGCTGCTCACATTTCTAGCTAGCACATTTTATTAATGAAATGTGGAGAGAACTTGGAGAATACCACCATCTCTTCCCTCAAGCAAGACGAAGAAAGATGTCGGTCTTACATGAGAATGTCACACAGTACATTTCAATACATCCATGAAAAAATTAAGTCTCTAATAGACATCAATAACTACTTCAACCTACAACTAACCCAATTTATGCTGAAGAAAGGTTAATGATTACAATAAGGTAAAGAAAAGTCATTTATGAACACTAAAAATTAACTAAAAACTACAAACCATAATACAAACTAGAAAAACATATTACGAACGAGAAAAACATATTATATAAACTAAAAATATTAACACAACTTTGAATAAAATGTTAAAAAAATTAATTAATAAAAATCAGCCCTGAGGCTGAGGGTAAAATGGTCTCATTATCCATACCATACACAAAACACATGACCACTTGAACTCCTAAGCGGGGGTGAATATCACTTCTAAAAGTTTAAATAGGAAGGGGTATCATGTGATAGCTCTTTTTAAAGGTCTCTTTTTTTCCAATCTTTTGACACATTATTTTTATAAATCGGATTATTTTTAACGAGTTATGAGCTAGAAACCGTTAAAAATTTGAAATTTTGAATTGGAATTAAAAAAATACATGAGTAAAAATACCGAGATAAGCAAGTGAAAAAAAAACCTTAAATGTTTTTACAAAAGATATTTTTGGCTATAAATTTAAACAATTTACTAATAGTATTTTGGTTTCGTTGTGTACTAACCAACAATTTTCGACAATGGTTTATTCTTTACAAGAAAAAATTGAAATAATCTTCATTTATGGAGAAGAACAACACTGTGCACACAGAACTGCTCATATTTTTAATCAAAGGCAATTTAATTTAAATTTAATTTCAAATTTATTCAATTTTTTTTATGGGGACATCTAAAAACTGTGGTGTATGAAACTCAACCTCACGATATTCTTGAACTTAGACGTAGAATAGTGGAGGAGTGTGAGCGAATTACACCAGAGACGCTTCAAAAAGTGCGGGAGGAATTCGAGCTGCGACTTTACTATTGTCTTGCAAACAATGGCGGACATTTTGAACATCTAATTTAATTACAAGCTAATTCTAATACTAATAAAATATTAATAATGCAAATACGATCTAAATAATAATTATTTTAATTTGAAACTTTAAAATGGCATAACTCTGTAAAAAATAATCTGATTTAAAAAAAAATGTGTCAAAAGATT